TTATTAGAAAACACCTCAAGTTAACTTAGGCCCCACAAGAGGAGGTTTATTATAAAACTATATAACCTAGGCCCAAAAAAGAATGTTTTAAGGAAACCAAGGCGAGGTTTGATTGTAGCTCGCCCTAAGACTACAACCAAATCGTTGAGAGCCCAGATAGTATTTTCTTCCCATCCCTGCTTTGTCTGCTTCATTCTTTCTGAGACAGATTCCTTTGCCCCCCAGTCTTCTTGCAGAATATATTTGCCATCCAACCCCTGAGTTAACCCCGTACGGGCTTAGTTGCACAAAGAAACTGAATCTCTCTAGAATATTTTATTCTTCCTTAAATGATATTTTTTAAAAACAGTAAATAGATTCTTTCGGTTCAAAAAGGTACAGTGAAAAGTCTTTCCAGCCTTTTCCCTCTAGCTCCCTATTCTGTTTCTCCAAGGCAACCAATGGTATGTTTGTTCCAGCTCCTTCCAGACCTATTTTATGTATATATGATTAAATACATTTATCTATGTGTCTATCTGTTTAGGTATTTTTCCCCCACTAATGGCAGTATAATATATACACATTTTTACCAAGCAATTTATTCTGGAAACTGTACAGTGTCAGCATTCAGAGAATGCCATAGGATTTGATGTTGTAATGTAATATTTTTCACCAGTTCCCTATTGATCAACATCTAGGTTTTTCCCAATTTTTTTGCTATTACAAATAATGCTGCAGTAAAAACTGGAACACACACACATTTAAGAATAATCTTTCTTTTTCTGTGAGCAATCTTTTATGCTTTGTCTATTTTTTTCTATTGGATTATTGATCTTTCTCTTACTGATTTCTATATATTTATATATTAGAGAAATCAGTGATTTGTCTTCAATATGAATTGCATTTTTTTCTTGTATATCATTTGATTTTACTAATGATGCTTTTTTGTCTTTGTTCTAATTCTAAAATTTCCCAGGGAGGCCTAATTGGATAAAGATGCTCACTCTTGGTTGATTCACTGTGGCTGGGGAGGTGGAGTCATTTTTTTTTTTTTTTAATCCTGGAGTATACTTTATGAAATGGGGGTAAGAAAACTAAAGCGGAAATTGTGAGTGACGAAGATACCCTAAAAGGAGTCTACTACATTTCAATGTGTATAGAACCTTTTCGAGTTACTGGGGATATGTCTTCTTGCTTTGGGGATGACAGCTCTCAGCTTAGTGAAGTTACATGATCCATAAAGTCACCTTTGCCACTGGGTAAGAGAGGATATACAAATTGCTGTGGGCATAGAGAAAGGAGCAGTTCATTATGTTTGGAGTATCTGGGAGAAACTTTATGGGAGAAAAGGAATTTGAGCCAGATTTTTTTTTTTTTTAAAGATTTTATTTACTTATTCATGAGAGATAGAGAGAGGCAGAGACACAGGCAGAGGGAGAAGCAGGCTCCCTGCAAGGAACCTGATGTGGGACTCGATCCCAGGACCCCAGAGTTCACCACCTGAGCCAAAGGCAGACACTTAACCACTGAACCACCCAAGTGCCCCTTGAGCTGGATTTTGTAAAGACAGAAGTAAATGAAAATGAATGATTGTTAGCCAAGGACTCAACATCATGGAAAGCAGGTTATATTGGGAAATGTATGATTGTCACAAATGCAAGAGTAATGTGATTGTCAGAAAGACTTCAACATGGATGGTTATAGGATGTAATGGTTCCTTAGTGGTGAATGATATGGAATCTCAGCAGTTAAAAAAAGCTGGAGCTACCACAATATGCTTCTGGAGTGAAGTGTGGCTTCCTGTAAAAATCCCCCACAAAGACAGAATTGTGGTTGCTATCATTATCCACCAGATTCTCCCAGGCATGAGAAAGCTAACCTTGCCATTCTGCAGTTCTAGTTCTCTTTGTTTTTTTTTTTTTTTTTTTGTGTGTGTGTGTGTGCTTAATACTCTTTTTGCCAATCCCATCTCCACCCTTCCCTGTCAACTTTGGAGACTGCCTCATGCCTGCCTACTCACTTATGGAGAAACTGGGTAAAACAAAGATAAATTTCTCAAGAGCATTCCTCAGGGTTTCAAGGCTTGAGGTCTATTTGAAGTCCATTTCTGTAGGATTAGTGGCAGATTTGGACGCATGGGCTGAGAGGCTGGGATTTTATCTTCAAACATATAAAGGAGTGTTTCTTACCAAAGCATGATATGAAATTTTGTGCCCTGGGATACTCTCTATGGATAAAGATTTTTGGTCAAGTAAGTTTGGAAATATACATATTTCTTCTCTTTTATAATGTACAATATCATAGTAAAAACTGAGAATTTTTTTTTAAAGATCTTATTTATTTATTCATGAAGACACAGAGAGAGAGTCAGAGACACAGACAGAGGGAGAAGCAGGCTCCCGGCAGGAAGCCTGTAGTGGGACTCGATCCTAGGACACTGGGATCATGCCCTCAAGCCTAAGGCAGATGCTCAACCGCTGAGTCAGACCCTTAACCAGCTTATCCTAAAAACTCTGAGAATTTAAAGGACAAACTGCAATGAGACGCCTTCCAGTTTAAAAGAAATGTAAAATTTATTTACCCTCACTTACATATTTTCTCATTTCTTAAAATTTTGAGTAAAGCTAAAATAAATAGTGGGGGCTGTGAAGTTTATGAGACACAGTCAGATTTGGGTTTTCATTAAGTTTTCACTCAGCCTGCAGTGCCATCGTTCTCCTTATTTTTTCTAGTTTCAGTTTATTTTTGTTTTTTATTTGCTTGCTTATTTTTTTTTAAATATTTTATTTATTTATGCATGAGAGACATATATAGAGAGAGGCAGAGACACAGGCAGAGGGAGAAGCAGGCTCCATGCAGGGAGCCCGATGTGGGACTCGATCCCGGGTCTCCAGGATCCCACCCTGGGCTGAAGGCGGCCCTAAACCGCTGAGCCACCGGGGCTGCCCTGCTTGCTTATTTTTTGTTATGTTGTTTGGTTTCTCAGTAGTGGGTTGACTTTTTTTCTCCTCATTCTGCCCCCCACCCAGCTTTACTGAGGTACACTTGATAAAATGATATATACTCATGTGTGTACAATGGGATTTAACATATATTGTGAAATGATTAACACATCCATCACCTCAAATGGTTACCTTGTGGGTGCGTGCGTGCGTGTGTGTGTGTGTGTAGAATACTTAAGATCTATTCTCTTAGCAAATTTAAATTCTCAAAAGTTATCTCCTCTTGGTGGATGTTTTTAATATTCTATTCCATCCCTCAAGATATTTGTTTCCACGTTAAAAAATTTTCTCATAACTTTGTCTTTTATAGACAATTATACAAAAAATAATTTTTCTTCATGATTGAGTCCACTAATATCTGCAAGTAATAATAACTACCATCTATTGAGTCTTTACTTTTACATGGTTTCATTATTTCAATTAGAAAGTGAATATAATGAATGCATTTGAGAGATTAAAGAACTGAATTTTAGAGAGGCTTTAAGTAATTTTCCCAAGTCACAGAGCTTGCAGCTCTTGTTGAGCTTGGTAAAGCAATCCTGTATAAAGATAAGCCCATCGAGATTTTATTTACTTTAGATAACAGCAATATTATTACCCACTATCCAGTTTCCACCAAATTTAAAGTTGAAAAACCTAGGAGTCCAGCATACGTTGGTCCTACTTTCTTTTAGTAAAGTTCTTGCAACAATGCTACTCAAGAGGCGCCTAGGTGGATAAGCTGGTTAAGGGTCTGACTCTTGACAGGTCTTGATCTCCAGTCTTGATCTCTGTGTTGTGAGTTTGGGCCTAGTGTTGGGCTCCACGCAGGGTGTGGAGCTTACTTTACAAAAACCGCAACAAAACAACAACAATGCTATTCTAAGTTTAATTGGGAATGAAAACAAGTATTTATCAGCTATTATGTAGAGGATGAAAAAAAAATCCTGAGACAGATTTTCTTTGATTTGCCATATGCTCCGTTATAGAATAATGCTCACTCATTCTTTCATTCAGCAAATACCCGTGGAGTGTTTATTTTGTACAAGGCTCTGAGTTTGGCAGTGAGGAATAAAAAATTGAATGGGAGATGGAAACTATCCTTAGAATTGATGAACTACTTGGGGAAATTATAAATATGTAAATGATTATAATTAAGCAGAATGCTCTGAGTCAAAATCAAAGTATAGGAATGTGAAAGCAGAGATTATTTTTGATTGGGAGGAAATCATACTTATGTTCTAAACATAAATATAAATATAAACAAGTAGGTTTAGTACTCCGCCATTAAATAGATTAAAGATGGCTTTAGAAAAATAAAACATAAAAGATTTATGATGCACTGGCTATTTTATTTATAAAAATCCAAGACATTTTCTAAAACAGAAAATTTATTATTTCCTTAAAGGCCAGTCTTTCATACAAAGAAATGACAGTGTTCATCCTATTTAGAATATTAGGTGGTAGGCATTTTGTCATTCTTCAGATTCATCTGGCATTTTCGAGAATTAAATATTTTAACTAATCAATTGTAATGTAACCAATTGGAAGATTACAGAGAGCCAGAATGTAATCAGGAGTAGCAATTTGGTATTGAAGGTACATCAAGATAATCATTCAAAGATTCTTAAATTTCTTCTTTGAAAAGATAGATGATCTTGAATGAGAATGAGCACGATAAACAATCTATTTATCCAATGTCTCAACCGAAGGCTGATGTCTCACCCTTTGAAAGATGTGTTGTGCTTCTCCTATTGGTCTAGAATTTAAACCAATGAGGAAGGAGAACATTTTTATAAATATTCACAAAGGAAGGCTGGCATTGTGAATGTTGAGTAAAAATTGCTTTGTTCTACATCTGAGTCTGACTTTCAGAATTTTGTAATGTCGATGTTTTCCTTTTATTAGTGTAGTAAAGTATTCGTTTTTTAAAAATTCAGGCTGGGTGATGTCTTGGCTTGAAATACGTTTTCCAATGTTAAGACACTTTGTTATTGTTCAGATAAGACGTGATAAATCTTTAACAATGTTCAAAGAAAATCAAGAATTTAGATGTTTTTATTATCATGAACACATTTCATACAAACAAAATTAATACTAATTTGCTAGATTTGTTTGAAGTTCATAATTACTAGGGTTCTTTCATTTCTGAGTGGCATGTATCACTGCTATTAGTCTCTCTTAATCGCTGTTCACAGGCAGAGTTCATGTTAGGTTCTCGGCAATAGCTATTTCTATCTTGAGTTTCTGGGTACTTTATTAAAATCTTTGCTGTCTTGAAATTTAATAAAAGCATTAATAAAGGTTTTTATATTGTGGTTTCTTTATGGAGACCAATAATACAAAAAATCATACAATTCATATTTTTGTGTCTAGTTGGTTTCATTAGAAAATTTACCATCCTGAGGCTCTCTGCTTATTTCTGATTCTAAAAAAAAAAAGCAACAACAACAACAAAAAAACCCCCAAAAACAAGCCACTAGAATGTTTTCATTGAATGTGAGTAGGTATTCCAGTTAGACCCAGATGAAGATAAAACTCCACTTGAACTTTCTCCAAATTTCCACTTAGTTTAAAGCAATTACTACAACATTGACTGTCTCTTCGACGCAGAGGAATACTTGGTCAGGAGGCTATTTTGCTTCTCTGAAAAACAAGGAAGATGGAATGAAAAGTCATCGCAAGGGGAGTCGGTCAGAGGGAGAAAAAAACGGATCCGCAAAACCACCAGCACCAGAAAGCAAGGGTGAAAAAAATTCGGGTAGCTGCAAACACTGATTTCATGTCGGAACACAGAAACAAACAAACAAAAAACAAAACAAAGAAAGCAGAGTTTAGGAGGAGACATGGAGCAGGCGTAGGAGACGGGCTCCTAGCACAGGGATCGCAACGGGGGAAGAGCACCTCGTGGCTTTTCCTCGGCGTCTCAAAACCAAGCTCTCCCGGGAGGGCAAAGGGCGGGGCGTGCAGTTTTGCATTGCAAGCAAGTCCACGTCTCGGGGCTGCCGCCAGCTGGTTCCGACCGCCGTCGGCGGCGCGGGTCGGGGGCCCGGTTGCGAGTCCGTCCACCCCTTTGTCTCCCCGCTGCCAGGGGGCCGCGGCGCCCGGGAACCTCCGCGCTCGGCGCCGCGCGCGCAACCGCAGGGCTCGCGCGCCCGCCGCGCCCGCCGCCCCCGCGGTCCCGCAGCCCCGCCCCCGGCCGCCCCCGCAGTCCCGCCCGCCCCGCCCCGCCCCCCGCCGCCCCCCGGCCGGGCGTCCGCAGCCCAGTTAGGCCCGGCCGAGGCGCTCCCGCTCGCCGCGCGCCCTCCCAACTTGCCGCCGGGACCCGCGCGCAGGCGGCCTCCCCCGCCTCGACTAGTACCGAGTACGACCTTGTGTTTCTGTTTTCGGTTTTCTGGTTCGGGAGCGTGCAGAGGGCCGGAAGCAGCTGCGGTTTCCCGCGCCCTTTACTTGGGCAAATATTTGGGGCCCCTTACGGATCACGTTCACGGGCTCGAAGCAGCTGCGCCCCCCCCCCCCCCAAGCCGGACACGTTGAAGCGGGCTTGCTCCTCCCAGGGGCCGCCCCGCCACGGAAGGGGGGAGCGCGGAGTTCGGGCGAGCTTAGGGGTGGCGCCGGGGGGGCGGAGGGAGCGCCGGGAGCGCCCCGGGCCCGGTCCCCGGAGCCACCCCGCGGGGCGGGCCGACGCGCCATGGCGGAGCTCGGGGACGAACCAGAGGTCGCGGCGGAGGGCGGCGAGCCACCCGCGCGACGTGGCAGCCATTTCCTACTCCCCGAGACCCCTCCCCATTCGGCCGCCCCCCGCCCCCTCGCGGCTGGCTGCCGCCAGGCTGCTCTTCCCGGGCCGGACGGAGAGCGGCAGTGTGTCCCCGCCCGGCCGCCGCCGCGCGTCTCCCCCCGCCCCCCCCCCCGCCCGGCCGCCTCCGCCGCCGCCGCCGCCGCCCGCCCGCCCAGCGCCGCGCCGGAGAGCGCAGTGGCGGCGGCGGGAAAGGGCTGCGGATCCGCAGCGCCGCGTCGCGCGCTCGACGACGCGGCCCCGGCCTCGACGGCCTCCCCCCGCTCCCGGAGCAGGTAAAGGCGGCGGGTGGTAGGCGGGGCGGCCCCGGGCCGCAGCGGAGGGCCTGAGGCCGCGGCGGGCGGCGCTGCGACTCCAGCCCCGGCGCCCCAACGTGGGGGCCGCGGCCGCGCGGACGGGAGGGAAGTGAGGCGTCGGCGAGAGGCGGGCCCTGGCGCGCAGCCCGAGGCCGGCGGGGGCGGGGGCGGGGGCGGGGGCCGCGGCCGCTTCCCCGGCCCCCGGGTCCCGGCCCCCGGGTCCCGGGCGGGCCTCCAGGCCCCAGACACACCCCTCTCGGCCCCGGGGGCTTCTCCTCGGCCGGTTCCCGCCGGCGCGCGACCTCGTGCCCCCGCGAGCGCCCTCGGCGTTTCCCAGGAGGCGCCTTCTGGGCACTTGGGGCCACCCTCGCGGGCACGTCGTCGTAGCGCAGCCGTGTGCTTACTCCTTCCTTCAGTATCCAAACACAGCCTTGCACTCCACGCGTTCCCATTTGGGGGATCCTGCGGGCAGGCGGGCGGCCCGGGTCGGTGTTGTTTGCGCCTCCGTGACCCTCGTGCGCACCCGCCCCTCCCCCGCCGCAACTTTGATCCTCGCCGGGACCTTCCTTGAGCCCTTCCGACCCCCGGACCCGCTCCGAGATGCCCGCTTGGAAATCCGTCTTCGCCGGGCTCGAGTGAGTCACCTGCCCGGGGGGGGGGGGCGCCGTTCATGCCTTAGGCGCTAATGGCTAAAACCGTAAAGTGTGTGTGTGTGTGTGTGGTGGTCGTCCCCCTCCGCCCTGCCCCCCGCCCGAGAGGGAGCTGGAGTGGCAAAGTGTACATGCCAGGTCACGCCTAGTGTGGCTTTTAAAGAAGCTTCCTCTGGGCAGCAGCCTTGAGAAGTAGGGACCTGGGGTTTGCGGCAGGGACAGGTTTGTACACATTCTCGCCATGCAGTGGTTGTAACGTCTCCATAGCACAGTTGCGACTCGAAGGCGGGATTGGCTGGTTTTTCTACTCGACGTCTTCGAGCCAATCAGGGCGCGCTGCTTGCCTGGAGACTGGTTAACTCCGAAAAGGTGGGGATTGGTGGAGCGCGGGGAAGAAAATCCTGGCCAGCAACCTGGTCTTGGGGCGGGGGTGGGGGAGGAGGAGAGGAAACGAGGACTCATTCGCGGATGCCTCTCTCCTCTCACTTTTTTTCTTTGATTAAAAAAAAAAAAAAAGGTTATCTTTTCCTCCCGCACATCAGCCTTTTCGTTCCTTTTTTATTATCTCTGTTGTTTTCTTCCCAAACATCCAGCTCTCTTTTGTAACTCGTTTTCACCATCCTTCATTTTTCAATGAAAGAATCCTCCTTACACGCTGTGAGATGTAAGCGTCATGTGTTTTGTGTTGTTGATATAGTCGGCGTGGTTCAGTGTTCTAACGCTGCTCATTTTTAAAGGTCAGAGATTACATCCACGGTTTTTAGTACCTTACCTATGCTAGATAGAGCCGTTGTCATTTAAGTGATGATCGTGCCAGGGTGGGGGTGGGGGGCTACGGTGGTGGGGACCCTGGGAAGAACAGGGAAGAAATGGCTGCTTTTGTACGGGGAGGCAACAATTCATGAAAAAAAGACTATATCAATTCAAACAAACAAACAAAAAAACAAAAAAGAGAAAAACAGAGCCAGTACAAAATCCCGGGGCAGAAAGAAACCCACCGTACTGATGAATGTTAGTTTGTATACGTGTTGACTTTGATAGCCTTGAGAAGAGTAAAGAGGGCTCAAGTATTGGACTAAATAGAAAAAGTGGGCTTAAGTTACTACAGAAGAATGTTTTTTCTTTATTCAAGTAGGCATAGTAGCTTGTACTCCTCAGAGGCTAAATAAATAACAGTGTAGGTGCATTTTGGATTATTTTATGTACCACTACACAATAAAAAACACAATTCAAAACTCCAAGTAACAGTGATATGCCATTGATTTTAGGATGTATCCTTATTGCAGAATTATAAAAATGTCTTAAAATTGATGATGTAAGGTATATTTTGTCATAAACATTTTCCATCTATAATGAATAGTTCAATTTGCTTATATAAAACTATACTCGGATTTTTTTATATATACAGAATTTAACATTACTCCATAAACCAAGATTTATTGAATTTACTTTTTTTTTTTTTTAAGATTTATTTATTCATGAGAGAGAGGCAGAGACACAGGCAGAGGGAGAAGCAGGCTCCATGAAGAGAGTGACATGGGACTCCCATCTGGGGGCCTCCAGGATCACCGCCTGGGCCAAAGGCAGGCACCAAACTGCTGTGCCACCCAGGGATCCCCAAATTTACTTTTAAATACCTTCCTACCCACTGTACTCAAGTTTTAAAACATGTTTAGGTAGTCAGACTGTTGGAAGAATCTCAGCCTTGTTCTACATAAATTATTTCAGTAGATACATCTAGATTCAGGTTAACTAATTTGTGCTATCCAAACTCAGTTTTGAAAATAAAAAAAACATCACATTAATTTCCATAAGGGAAGAAGCTAGCTAAGCCAACTAGGTTTTTAGGATTATTACGGAAATTTGTAGCAGGAGGAACCCACATGTTGCACTTGGCTGAGCACTGGCTGTGGGTGTGCCAGTTTCACTAAACATCACTAGACTGATGGTGGACACTATTTTTCTAAACATGGATTGTTCATGTCCTTTGATCATCTACTAGGTATGTTTCTCTTAAAATTTTGAGAATGGTCCAAATACATGGTTATTAGTGTCTTTTTTTCCTGAAAATATTTTTCTCTAGCTTGCTCTTCTACTTTTTGGTTACTTTTATTTGTCAGAAGTTTAAAATGTTCATACATGAATCCATCATTCTTTTCCTTTTTTTTTTTTAATTTATTTATGATAGTCACACACACACACACAGAGAGAGAGAGAGAGACAGAGAGAGAGAGGCAGAGACACAGGCAGAGGGAGAAGCAGGCTCCATACACCGGGAGCCCGACGTGGGATTTGATCCCGGGTCTCCAGGATCGCGCCCTGGGCCAAAGGCAGGCGCCAAACCGCTGCGCCACCCAGGGATCCCCCATCATTCTTTTCCTTTGTCATTGCTTCATGTTTCCTATTCATAATTTTATTTCAGATTAAAAAATTTCATTGTTCTACAGATGTGATTATTAGTTTTCCCTAATATCTGTAAAATTTGAACTTAGGATAAATTCAGAATTTAGGATAAATTCTAAGCATAAATTCATAATTCCAAGGTGATACCATCTAATAGTTTTTACAAATTACTGTTAAATCATCTTACCACCCTTAAAAACTTTAATCTTACCTTCTTGTTTTGGAAAGCCTATCTTTTACATACAAATTTTGAGAGGACTTTTTCTGGACTCTTGATTTTTTAAAATAGTTCCTCAGTCTTTTATAGGATTTTTGTGCTTGTACCATTTAATTTTATTGTTACTTTCATAATATGCATTAGTTTGTTTTTTAGTAGGCTCCATGCTGGGAGCTGACTAAATGTGAGGCTTGAGCTCTCAACCCTGAGATCAAGACGTGAGCGGAGATCAAGAGTCAGTTGCTTAACCAATTGAGCCACACAGGGACCCCATCATAAAATGCATTAGTATTTAGAGAGAATTTCCCCACGTTACTTAAAAAAAAAAAAAAATTTTTTTTATACATCCTTTATCCATTAAACTTAAGAATTAGTTTGGGAAACTGACATGAATAAGATTTACTTTTTTGGTTCTGAAGCAGGGCATTTTTTTTTTTTTTTAAGTGGAGCCCAACACCGGGCTTGAACTCTCAAGCATGAGATCCAGACCTGTGCTGATGACAAGTCAGTTGCCTAACCAGTTGAGCCACCCAGGCGGCTTAAAGCAGGGCATCTTTTTTTATTTTTTAAAATTTTTAGATTTTTTATTTATTCAGAGGCGGAGAGAGAGAGGCAGGCAGAGAGGCAGAGACACAGGCAGAGGGAGAAGCAGGCTCTATGCTGGGAGCCGGATGTGGGACTTCATCCCGGGTCTCCAGGATCACACCCCAGGCTGCAGGTGGCACTAAACCGGCTGCACCACCCGGGCTGCCCAGGGCATCTTTTTAAAAAAAAAAAATTCTGTGTTTGAATTTTATTTCTCCTGCCTGCAGTGTTTTACTGTTTTCTCTGTCCTTCTCCCCCCTAACCTTTGAACCTTTGGTATATTTCCAGTATACACTTAACTAACTGCTATGCTGCGCTCCTTCCTCCTCCTAGTAACTGAGCTTCACTGAATCTTCCTTTTGTTTCTTGCTAACACTGGTCCCAACCTAATTACTTTAGGTTTACAGGTATTAAATA